CTGAAATCAGGCACCAGGATGCCAAAAGAATGACGTAATCTTATATTCCGTATTTGGATAAATGGGCGGACCGAAATAAACAATTTCAACCAATCAAATGTTTATATTTTTGGAGCCACGAAACTGATTCACTCGCGTCGACTAGTTAGGCATGACTAAATTTAAATAGTCCTCCCTAATAAAACGGGCCTGAAATATTTAGAATAGACCCTAGTAAGACTAATTTTGACAATGGCAAAAACAATTAAGCTTAGACTAGATGGCATACCATACAAATACAACAAAACTTTAACTTTCCAGGAAGATGGCTCAGGCCTCGTCTGGATGGAGTCAGGAGTAGTAGGCCTAGCCTAGACTAGTAGTAGAGGCTTGGCGTATTTTTTAAATTTTAAGTTCTTACTTACAGAGGCCTACCTACCCTAAAGGCCTAAATCTGTAGCAGCTAGCGGTGAGCAAGGTTCCTAGTATAGCCTACGGTTATCAGTCCATGTCGTTCTCAGCAGGCCAGAACTATATACTAACTGTTTTAATTCAAGTAGGTAGCCAAAAGGGAGCTGGAGCTTGACATCCGCATCTTCAATTTTTAAAATTTACGAAGATTGATTAATATGCATGAGGTTAGCCAATCACGTGATTTACAAAATCAGTCATGCATACGATATCCCACATCAAATTTGATGTGGGAAATTGCAGGCATGAATCGTTTGCCCAGGCCCTAATTCGAAAAAAAAAGAAATCGAGGGACGCCAATTAAATTAGGTATGGCGCGCACTAAGTTCAATAAAGAGTGAGTAACCTAAAATTAGGGCCTGGAACCCAGACTAGGAGTTGCTGTGTTTTGCTATGCTGTGTGATAAAAATGACAGGGCCTACTCTATGTTGAGGACAAACTATAACTGAAAGATGAACTATAGCTGAAATTATGCGTGACGTCAACATACGAAGCCACACCCCTTGGCTGAACCTGTTGTATTTAGCAACTACCCAAAAAAAGGCCCATGGGCTTCTATTCAAGATAGCATAGGCTTTGTTTCGAGATAGTACATTACATACACAGAAAAGCAAAATAAATTAAATACAAGCTTGGTTTATAAAGTGGTTTAGGTGATTTAATGCCAGTTAAATACACTCCATGATACAGATTGATGTTACAGTGGCCTTATTTTATTGTTTTATAATACAAATTCACAAAATTTACTGCATTCATTTTGAAAAGAAGCCCCCCCCCCCTCTTTACATTGCAAAAGTAGTCTCGAAATTTTTAATTTTTTTTCTTTATTCATTATACTTTATTCAACAATGGACTACATACATTGATTGAAACAGTTGAGGCAAAAAAAAAGAGGCCATTGTTAGGACCACAATTAGATGGCAAGCCTTGTCTCATAGTGACCCTTAAAGATAATAATATTATTCAATTTATCAATAATAATATTAATAATAATAATAATAATGATGATGAAGATAATAATAATAATAATAATAATAATAATATTAATAATAATAATTATTATTATTCAACAAATATGTAAATGAGTAAAACCAATTATTACTAACAAAAACAAAAATCAGAAACAGTGAGTAATAATTGGTTTAACACAAGGAATTATATTCATTGAGTCAACTATCGGAAATCAGATTAAAACTATTTACCCAATAATAATAATAATAATAATAATAATAAATATATTAACTATAATAATATTGATAATAATTAATAGTAATAATAATAATTATATCATATAATATAATAATAATAGTAATAATGATGTACCTTAACTTTAATATTGGTATGTGTTAAACTCAGTATGAAGTAAATTTAGTTTTGTTCATTGGTTTGCTTGAGCAATCTGCACTCTGGCTAGATATTTATTCTTTTTTAATGCTCTACAATATTAATTCCTATCTTTTTTGTAAAGGTAGGGAATAATTTGTGACTTATAGAGTTTTACAGTACTAGGTTGAGAGACTTAACTTATCAGTTGGCCTGGGACTCCTCTCCCCCCCCCCCCCTAAATTTTTTTCAAATTGTAAAAAAATTCAGAAAAGTAGAAAATTTTAATTCTGAGAGTGTCATATCGGGCCATCATAAATTTTCTTCTCTATTTCAAATTCCTGGATCCGCCACTGCTTATGATAGTAACTACTGTACCGTATCCAAGAATCAAATAATTACCAACTGTTTTCTGATGTTTTTTAATAGAAATTTACATCATGTTTTTAGGTGAGAAAATGGCAGATCCTAATTTTGCAACCATGTCAAATCATCAGAATGGAAGCCCATCTGATCAAGAGCTTGACGATACATTTGAACAAGACTTGCGTGACATGCTGCGTGATGGACCAACACTTTCAGACTCTGCATCGACTATCCAAGGTGGAAATGTCACAGAG